AATAATATACTTTGATCTGCATTGACTCCATAGTTCCTTCTCTGGAGGTGGATAGCACTTTCCATTTTGAGTCCTTTGGAATTATCTTAGATCATTGTATTACTGAGAAGAGCTAAGTTATTTATAGTCAATCATCACATAATGTTGCTGCTACTGTGTAGAATGTTTTCCTGGTTCTGCTCACTTCCTTCAGTATTAGTTCATGTGAGTCAAAGTGAAAATGTTAAGAAAACTTTCTAATGTATCTCAAAGTCCTTTGATTGAAGATACTTCAGTCACTAATGTAGCTATGTGTGTATTAGGTATTTAAGTACCTACTATTTACTAGGCACTGTAATAAAAGATGGGTCATACAAAGAAAAGACAAAAACACAACCGCACAGTCCCTGCTTTCAAGGAGCTCACAGTCTAGCAGGGAAGGCAATATGAAAAGAGCTATGTCCAAACAGGATATGGGCGGTGGGGGCGGGGGTGGAGAGCAAAAGGAGCAATCTGCTTAAAATATGAGAAAAACATTAGCAGCAGGGAAACATCACTGTGTCTCCTTCAATATTTCAAGGAGCTGTGATTTCACCGGTGTGAATACTCCCTCTATAGCTGCAGATTGCAACCCCTTCATACCTTTATACATAATTTAATATTGAATTTCTGTTCCTCTGTCTCACCTCAAAAAAAAATCATAGTCTGATGGCCAGTCTTCCGGTGCCAAGCCTTTCCAAACTCAGCTAGACTGGTCTTCTGACAGAAGACAGTCTATTCTCAAGCCTGTGTTTGACGCCCTCTCAGCTATGTAAGACCTGCCACAGCTTGTATTCCGTGGGCATAGCCTTAACAAAAAAAAAAAAAAAAAAACAAATCTAGGGCAACCCAGCATTGGAGAACCTGGGCAATGGAATGCAAAAGATGCAATAAACAAAATAATTCAATAAAGTCAAACATGCCACCAGACCACCTGCTGCTTTGCCCTTCTACCTCCTAAGCTTAGTACTTAGTAACCTGTCAAATGCCTGTGCTGTTAACATTCATCTGTCCATCCAGAGAATAAGGAGTTCCTTGGGATCTCTGAAACTGCTCAGCATTTTGCCACATTCCACAGTCTTGTCTTGTCTGACACAGTAATGAGATAGTTTAGCCTAGCTGCAGGGACCTGGGACTTCCTAGAGCTGCTAGAGGGGAGTAGGGAGTGGGGAGGGTAAGAAACACAAAAGGATTATATCACATCTACTAGAAAAGCCAGAAGCTAAGAGGGACTTATGGGCTGAGGTCATCGGGCCATTAAATCCTCCCTGACTCCTCAGCAAGATAAGGAATAGAGGGGGTACTTATGATACCTTTCACAAAATGAAAATTCTTGGCAACCGACTCCAGACAGGGAAATTTTACATTCTATCCCCAAACACCTGTGCAGAGGCTGAACCTTGCATTCCAATGAGAAGCTGGCAATTATCTGGCCCTAAGCCCCTCTTTCAGGTGCAGTCATAGCTCCCGGCTTCCACCTTAACTAAAGCAAGAAAAAGACAGTGGAGCGGAGTCCCTGTTGGGGGTCAAGTTGAAGGACATTGGGGTTAATACTCTTTGGCTTTCTGTCAATATCTTCACGGTCTAGCAGGCAGCCAGTATTTAGGCTATGCTATTGGGAAGTATGAGGCTAGGAAATGAGGAATTCCTAGCTCTGTGGTATTTGCTGACTGTCTCCGTTGACATTCCTTGGAGGTGGTGATTTGGTAACATAAAGCATGGGGAATCGATTAAACTAGGGCTTAGGTTAATAGGATGTTGAAAACATTCTTTCCAAAAAAGATAGATATCAAAGCTAAAAACAAGTTTTGAAATTTTTTCTTTCATTATTAAAAAACATTAACATAATTTTCTTCAAAATTTAGATGAAGCTTACTTCACTCTTTTAGATTTTTCCCAGTGTGTCTTCTATGTGAAACCTTTCTTATGTCACCTTAATACCAGTGCTTTCCCTCTATTATCTCCAAACTTATTTTTTATATATTTTGTTCATACACAGTTGTTTTCATGTCGTCCTCCTCATGCTGTGAGATCCTTGAGAGCAGAACCTGTCTTCTTTCCTCTTTTTGAATTTCTAGTGCTTAGTACAGAGCCTGGTGCATAATAGGTATTTAATAAATGCTTATTGACTAACTGAGTGAATCCAGACAGATATCAAGGCTTTCTTAGCAACTAGCTAGCAGTGGGTGATCCTTTCAAGACAAGTGCATTGGGGGAGCACAAACTTTCAGTCAATGTGCTCAGTGCTGCTAAACTTCATAGCATCATCTTTTGGTTTAAAAAGGAAAAGAGAATGAAGGGACACAATCTGGCAACCCGAGGTTGGGTAGTACAATGGAAAGAACTTTGATTTGGCGTCACAGGACCTGAGTTTGATTTCTGGCATGAACTTGGTGAGCTACTTAGACTCTCTGGGACTCAGTTTCCTTATTTAAAAAATGAGAGCATTGAACTCTTAGACCATCCTGTGGTTTGAGGAAATCACAGAATTTTAGAGTTGAAGAGGGCTTCAGAAGCCATCCAGGTCAAATCATGCCTGAATAATTATCCCCTCCACAAATAACCTGGTGAAAGGGAACCCGCTACCTCCTGAGGTAGCACATTCCCAGTTTTGATAGCTCTAACCTGGATATTTTTCTTTAAAACCTAAATTTGCCTGTTGTTGCCATTTCTGCTCATTTCTCCTAGCTCTATTCTCTGGGGCCAAACAAATTTCCTTTCTACCTGATAGTCCTTCAAAGACTTATAGACTTTCCCTTTCCCCCATCAATTATTCCCTCTCCCTGGCCATATATCCCCAGTTCCTTTAAACATTCCTGGCTAGATATCCTGGGAAACTGGAAGACCAGTGGGGATAAAGACTTCCCCATCTGCAAAATGAAAAAGTCTAACCTTGAAGTTCCCTTTTGTGATCCCATGAGATCTAGCCATATGAGGAATGGTTAAAGGATCAGGGCTATACAGGTAGTCAAAGTTTTACAGGCAATGAACAGCAGAGCCAGGGTTTAAACCCAGATTCTCTAACTCCAAGTCTAGTGCTTTTCCCATTATACTGTGTGATCTCCAAGTTTGGATTCAGCCAAAGGGCCACACTTGAGGACCTAGAGGGCCACATGTGGCCTCGAAGCTGCAAGTTCCTCATGCCTGTTCGAGGCCCTTAACTGTCCTAGTTCCCTTCCTTCAGCTCCGCAGTGTCCTCCTTGACAGTAGGGATGCTTTATTCTTGGCGTTTCTGTTGTCATTGCTTAGCACAGTGCCTGGCACTACATTCTTGATTTACTAAAATGTTTTACAGGACTCAGTTTTAAAATCACTGAGTTCTCTGACTACCTTCTAAATTTGATTTAACAAACTTAGCAAGCGTAAATTAAGTACCTACTATGTGCCAGGAACTGTGCTTAAAAAAAAAAAACCAAAAACCACAATAAACAAAACCAACAACACCAACAACCAAAAACCCCCAAACAAAAACAGTCCCTGCCCTGAAGGAGCTTACAATCTATCTATTTGATGGGAATCACCTGGTTTTAAGAAGCAGGCTAGGAGGATTTATCAGAGTCTAATATGGACTGTGTTTCAAGGTTTTAAACTCTAACCCAAAATGGATATGTTAACATCTTCCAACGTGTGAAGTCCTGCTCCCCTAACCAACAGGTTGGTACATACTTCAGCAGTCTGTGGATCTGTGAATATTCTGGCAAATATATGTGGTTGTGAAAAATGGGGCCAAAATAAAGTTCATTGGAATCAGGATGCATGCTCTCTGCACCTGGGGAAGCCTTGGGGAAAGTGGGTTGGCAAGGGTGTGCTGAAACCAGCTTGTACAGGCTCAAGAGGGCCAATTGTTAAACATTTAGTGTGATCATTTACACCTCAGAAACTGGAAACTGCTACAAAGCAGGACTTGATTTATTGGTTTGTTGACTGTCTAGGCTTAAGGTGATGGTAAAAATTTTAATAATACAGATTAAACTTAAAAGTCTCTCATGTATGTATTCCCCTTCTACCCATAGCTGGTTAGTAAACATTTACCAGAATATCCCTGGTTGTGGGTGTTATTGGCACTGTGAGTTACAGACCAGTGGTCAGGTTGGGCAGATCTCCATTAATGCTAATGCCTTCCCTCTGTTATCCCCAATTTATTCTTTATATATTTTGTTTGTACATCGTTGTTTTCAGGTTGCCTCCCCCATTAGACAGTGAGCTACTTGACAGCAGGGACTGTCTTTTGCCTTTCTTTGTATCCTCAGCACTTACCACAGTGCCTGACTTGTAAGAGGCACTCAATAGATGTGGACTGACTGACCAACTGAAAAGAATGTACAATTACCCTTTAAGCAGGAGCCATTGAGTTTTGGTGTTATAAAATTGACAGTGAGATGCAGCTACACAGTTGTTAATACTTCCTGATTCAACAGGAAGTGTCAAATCCAGCGATTATACAGTTAGGGAAGTCGCTCATAAACCATCCACTGTAGTACCTTCTCCTTCTCAACACCAACCATTTTATCTTTGATCTAATATCTTTTTAGCCAGATACTGAATAATACTGCTTAAGGTAGGACTATCGCAGAAGGCTATTGGAAAGCTGACTTCATCAAGACTTTATAAAACAATATGGTTAACTTTTAGATGAGAGATGTCAAAGTCCTAGCCCTTTCCTTTGGATCTTGGGAGGAGCAGTTGGGGGAGGGAAAAGGGAATTCACTCAGGAGGCAATGGAAGGTGAGCTCCCCCTTCTTGGTCACTCATTGGAAAGCAGTTCAGGTTATGTTTGCTAGAAGCTAATTCTCACAGCCTGGTGAAGTTCGTGTTATTGTTGGGGAGGGGAATGTGGCAGCAGCGGCTGGCGTTTGTGTCAACGAAAACTGATCCATGCATTAACATGTGCTAGGGGTTTCTGACACCTGTCCTGTGTTAATCTAGTCATTTTCAGGGCCAAAATCCACATCATTATACTTGAAAATAATTTCTTTTCTTAGACATCAGTGAATGTGCTAGCCATCCTTGTCAAAATGGCGGAACATGTATGGAAGGAGTCAATCAATATAAATGCACTTGTCCACATGGATGGACTGGAAACAACTGTCAGCACCAGGCTCAGACAGGTAGGTAATAGTTTTGTGAGTGGGTAAAAAGAGCAAGAAATTGGAAGAGAAGGCATAAGTCCTAGTGTTCCAAATGATTTGCCTGTATACTTCGCCCATGCTTGGAGTCATAGAATTCTCCCACTGTGCTTCCTGATGATTTCCCTCTGTGTTTCCCAGAAGTCTATCTTCTGTGTAATGGCACTTTAGCTATTCTTTTGGCTAGCACCAAAGCCGCAATTTCTGTTTCTATTAGAACAAAAAGTGGGAAGTCCATGCAATCATCTGAATAATAAATGAAATATGAGGCCTAACACTCAGAGGTAGCTATAGAAATATTACTAATGTTCCCTTGCCATAAAAAAGGAAGAGGATTAATAGATATTCTTAGAGCACTCAATAGCTTAATGACAGGTACAAATCATTGCATTTGTTGAATGTAACCAAAAAGGATTTATTTCTGGAAGAGGCCTATGAAACCACTAAGGTCCAAAAATGGAATAAAAAAGGACTTTTGTGAGTGACAGCCTCATGAACTCAGTCAACAATATGTTGATGTGCTGACAAGCATCCAACAAATGGCTAGGTCATGTGGATTTATTTATGGAATTAGAAGGATATATCATGATGGCAATTCAGGACTAGATCATCACCACCAGAAACCAAGGGGCCCAGAATTAGTGATCAAGGCAGATTATATAAGGAGATGGTAGAAACCATGCAACACATCACTGTAGGTTGTAAATATTCAGTACTTACCATGTAGCTAGTTATACATGATCTGGTACCTATAATTATATTTCAGAAGAGCACTGTGTTTTATGGACTAACAGATAACAAATTCCTATACTACAAAGATAGACCTCAAAGTATATTGGGAACTCATCCATTAAATTACCCTGAATCTGGTTTATTATCACACTATGAACTATTCTCTGTAATTGCTCAGATATAACATGGATCTATAAAAGCTGAAGAACATTTTAATAAGATGGCACCATACCAAAAACTCATAATCCCCAAATTACATACAATGAAAAACTTTCAAAATATATATATACATGTATGCATCATCCTTATTGCCCTATTTGCTAATGGTTTTGTACTGAGGATGACTTCAGTAAGCCTATAGGCAGATAGGTGGCTCAGTAGATGGAGTACTAAACCTGGAGTCAGGAAGACCTGAGTTCAAGTCCAGCCTCAGATACTTCCTAGCTGTGTGGCCTTGGGTAAGTTGTTTAACCTCTTTCTGCCTCAGTTTCCTCAACTTTAAAATGGGGATGATGGTAGCAACTATATCACATATGTTGTGAGGATCAAATGGGATAATATTTGTAAAGGGCTTAGTATGTACCTCACACATAGTAGATGCTTAATAAATGTTTGTTCTCTCCTCTAAAGAGGACAAGCTTACATCCTAATACCCCTTTTGATTCAACCACAAACCAGTTATTTTATCTACCTATGAAATAGTCCATGGATCATTAAATATAGAATAATAATAGCAGGATAATGGCTTGTTCCAGAACTAATTTTATATGAATTCTATTAAAAATATGAGAAAGAAATAATAATAAAGTAATATAATCTCCATTATCCTGTCTTGGAGTTGTCCTAGGGTGTTTTCAGTGAGCTTACAAAAGATAAACTTACACTTTACACTTTTATTCAATTATGAAAAGCAGTTATTTTATCCATCATATAATAGTCTTCAGAGTATTAAGTATAAAGAAATAGTAGCATGTTAATGATTTGTCCAAGGACCATTGTTTATCTGAATTCCCTTGAAAAAGGTGAGAATAACAACAACAAAGATCCAAGTGTGGAATCAAACACCTTTCATGGGTGATATCCACATGAACTCAACCCACAAACATTGAAGAAATAGTGAAGTGAAGCAGATCTGTTTAGAGACATGGAAAAGTTTATGATAATGCTATAGGGTCAGGTCATTCCCATGAGACATTACATAAAAGTTATTCTTAGAGTCTAGACTTATTAGTTGATAGAGATTATGCAAAGAAATGTTAGAAATTGTGCACCATGTCACTGCAAGTTATAAAAATTTAATACCTCAAGAAGCTTTACATCAGAATTTTACATGAGAAGTTTACTATTCTTCAAAAATTGAAAACAAATTCCTATATTACAAATACAGTCCTCAAAATATTCTAAAAAATTCAAGAAATAGGCTGTCCTGAAACTAAACTATTATTAGAAGCAAAACTGTTGCTCACAATCATGTGGACATAACATTGATCTATAAAAAATTAATGACGTTATTTTAAATAGATGTCACCATAATAAATATTCATCCTTTCCAACTACGAAAAGTGAAACGCCTTCAAAACATAGTGACCTAGTGGGATGAATAAAAACAATGTGGAACCAAAGCAAAATACATATCTTTCCAACCATTATGCCTACTTATTGGAGTTGGCCAGAAGATGTTTTTAGTAAACCTACGGGGCACTTACATTCTAATGCCTTTGTTCAGTTACAAAAAGTAGTCATTTTATCTACCTGACCATAGAATGTTTAGCATAAAAAAGCAGAATAATAACTCGTTCCAGGATTGTTTCTTGAAACCCCATAAACAAAGACGAGAACAAGATTAAAAACAATAATCCCTGTCATCCTGCCCAAACAGAATGAGAAGAATGAGATAACAACATCAGCAACAATAATAATGATAGCAGCGGCTGACAATTATGTAACAGTGTTGGATTTGCAAAATGCTTTACATACATCATTTCATATTATCCTCACACTAATCCTGTTGTTTGGTATTATAGGTGTTATTATCTCTATCTTAACAGAAACTGAGTCTCAGAGAGGTTAAGTGACAACTAGGCACAAATGAGTGTCAGAGGCAGGATTCAAACCTAGGTTTTTCCTAAGCCCAAGTTCCTTGTTCTTTGCCCCATGGCACGCTCCCTCTTAGTATACTTCCTTGCTGACTCCCAGACTCAGTTCCTTAGCTGTACTTAGCTATACTCTCCCTGGCTATACTAAGTTGAGAATAGGGCACTTCCCCACAGACCCAACGTGAAATGCTCCAAGAGTAATTTAAAATTGATTTTTTTTTTCTCTTCAGTGGCACCTGAGTGGAGTGTGACCAATGACCCTGCCTTTAGTCGCAAGCCACGTTGTGCCAAGGTGGATAGGACTCAACACTGTAGCTGTGAGGCGGGCTTCCACATGAAGGGCACAGCGGATAACAGCATATGTCAGGGTAAGTGCTCAGGGCACCCATTAGGGCCAGGATTAGGAGGCTGAACCCCTTTGCCTTTAGGCAGTCATTCCTCCTTTAAGATCCTAGGTCTTTGTGGATTGAAAGAACATACAAGCTTCCCCGTGGTCATAGCTACCACCAGCGAGTGACTCAGACAGAAGGGGAAATAAATCAGTTAAATGAGTTCTGTTGTTATCTTTGTGTCTGGAACATGCTTTTTTTGGCGACGCTGTCTTAATGAAGCAAGGAGCTGAGTCACATGCATCAGCAATTGCCTCCTTTTGAACGTCTTGAACAGTACCTCCTGCAGACATCTCAAAATCAACATGCCCAAAACAGAGCTCATTATCTCCTCTTTCCCCCCAGTCCTTCTCCCTTTTCATTATTACTCTTTAGGGCACCACTATTCTGACAGTCGTCTGCACGGTGATTTTCTCTAGTCAGCACCATAGCTAGGGCTATAATGTAGAATTTGAGAGAGACTGAATTATTCATACGATGTTCATTGATTTAAATAATGAGATATCTATCAAATCTCCATTGTATTTTCTGTGTGTGATGTAGTCCCAGTCTCTGTTGATGTGGACAGTGGTAGCAGGATGATTCCATTGCTGTTCTCTGATATTGGGTTCTATTCACTGCCTCCTCATGTATCCCACTGACACCTGATCTCCCTTTTCACCCTGTTGAATCAAGGGATTTGTTCTAAAGAGGAAAAGGGCTGCTACTTTAAGATTTTGCCTGGATTTAAGACCTTAAAAATCACCCATTTTTGCAACTGTTGAAATCGATTCTCTCTCCTATCATAACGGATGGGAGGAATTGCTTAAGTCTTTTAATGGAAACAGCTAAGGGTCCCAAAGTCCTTTATTCCCAGGCCACCTTGCTTTGCTCCAGACTAGACTGTATTAACTAAAGATAATATGCCCTCTGAAACTTCCAAACTTGTCAGCTACGAAGCAGGGACACACCCAGACAGTGGCATGCAGGCTGAGAAATGCATGTACTTTCATTGCCTGTCAACACCAGCCTGCCTGGGAGGACGTTGAGTCAGCTCTACCTCCCAATAGATGAATGGAAAGAATTGGCCTCTTCTCCAGCCCCACTGGCTCCTTCCCCTCTTGTTCTCTTTACCCCACACCCTTATTTCTACTGTCCCTTGAGCTTCTGAGAAAAAAGCAACTCATTGGAACCTCCCAAACATCTCTTTGTGGAAAGTTAGTTCAGCCTCCAGTGAAGTATTCCTATGCTTCAAGGGTTGCTACATCTCAGCCTGGGAGTTCCCTGAGGGCTCAAAGACATTCCCAAGGTCAAGGGTTCTTTATCCTTTTTGTGTCATGGCCCCTTTAGCAGTCTGGTGACATCTGGAGATCTTTTCTCAGAATAACATTTTTTAAATGCGTAGGATTACCAAAAAAAATTATATTGAAGTATAGTTATCAAAATAAATTAAAAAAAAAAAAACAAGTTCACAGCCCCCAGGTGAAGAACCTCTACCGGGGGCAGAAGTGTGTGGATGTCACACTAGTGGCCTAGGCCATTACAACTTGCATTGTCCCCAGACTCATGGATGTCGATTGTGGGAGATGGGGGGAATAATTTTTTTTTCTCCACAGATGTGAATGAGTGTGAGGTTTATAAGTTGGAGGGGGCCAACCAGCTCTGTATGCACAACTGCATTAATACCCCTGGATCCTTCCGCTGCTCTTGCCCAAGCGGATATCGCATTCTTGAGGATGGAAAAAGCTGCGAAGGTGAGTTACGTCCTGCTGATTGAAAAAAGTCATTGGTTGGGAGTGGGGGGGAGAGACTACAGAGCAGACAGGAAGACCCCCACTTCTAACTCATTCTGCTGTTTCAACTTTCTAGGTCCTGAGTTAAGGGGTAGAGGCAGGGAGGGGGTGAGGGAAAGGAATGGAAATGATTAGTCTTACAGACATACCTTCCAAATATTCCAGCCTACATGCATGAAAGTTTTTTTCAAAATCAGGTAGAAAAGATTCTCAAGGATGTAACCATTTTCAAGGTTGTAACTGCTCTACAGAGCTAATCCCTGCCTCAGACGGGAGAGGTTTGAAGCCTGCACGGCAGAGGGAGGGGGTAAAGTGGGGAATACGAGTAGATATCATTGCGTTGGAGGAAAAAATCCCATAATTAATAATAATAATAATAATATTGTACCTCACAGTTGGCTATTTCAGGGAAGGTGAGATGTGATCCCTCTTTCCACTGTGATTGGTTGATCACAAACCTCCCTAAAGAGTCCTGGCCCCTGCTTTGGAAACCATTATCCCTGAGGACAGTGAAGATCGTATAGTAATCTGAAGGGGAAAATGGGGAACGGAATGGGGCTATTGCTTTGATGATATCAGTTAGCCTCCTTGGTCCTCAGTGTCCTGATTCCTGTGAAATGAGATGATTGACTAGATGTCCTCAGATGTCCCTTCCAGAATGAGAAATGGGAGGGGACTGATGACAAACTCTGTATACCTCACCACATAAGATAGTCCTCTGGGCATTGCAGAACTATTCAGTGAAATGGGTTTACTGTCTTTTTAAACAGACTGGACACTGGGAATAGGAAAAAAGTTTGTGCCAAGTAGAAACAAAAGGACCAAAGTTATGACTTCAACAATACCTATTTGACACTTGCCATCTTCACCACTAGAGGAATTTGGGGTCTAAAATGTCAGGGTTTTCCCCCTAAACTTCAAAATTTATTTTTAAAAATTTTTAAGTGGTAGCTGGGAAGAAGAGAATTAATATTGCCCATTTATTAGTGATATATGGTGCTTTGGGGAAAGGAAAAAATGTTTCTTCATTATTCCGATGAGGGTACAATGCTAGTAACACTAAATGGTAATGATGATATAAATCACATTTCTATTTTGAAGTTAATTGGTACGGGCCTCACAGTCTGTCTTCTGAGCGCCAGCCTTGCCAGCAAAAGCAATGTGGTACAATGGAAAGAGAAGTGGTTCATCAGATTTTCAGATGACACAAACCTGAGAAGGAGAGCTAATACACCAGATGACAGAGTCAGGATCCAGTCTTGACAAGCCAGAGTACCAAGCTGATTCTAGTAAGATTAAATTCAAGAGAGATAAATATAAAGTCTTGTGCTTGGGTGCAAAATATCAGCTTCACAAGCACAAGATGGGGAAGATAAGAATAGACAATAGTTCTACCTGAGTATTTTAATGGACTACAAAACCTATATGAATCAGGGGTGTGATGTGGCAGCCCCTAACCCCCAAAATTCAAAGCCAGTGTGATCTTGGGCTGCATTAAGAAGGACACAGCTTCCAGAAATATTGAGGAGATACTCCTGCTACACTCCACCTTGGTCAGACCTAATCTGGAGTACTTTGTTCAGACCTGGGAACCATGATTTAAGAAGGATAGTGATAAACTAGAGAGTGTCCAAAAGAGGGAAACCAGGATGGTGAAGGGTCTTGAGTCCATTTCATGAGAATTGGTTAAGAAAAGTGAGAATGTTTTACTTGGGGAAAAGAAAACTCAGGAGAGACATGATAGCTGTGTTCAAGTGTTTGAAGGGTCATCACATGGACAAGGGATTAGATTTTCTGTTTGGCCCCAGAGGCAAGAAGCAGGAATGATAATAGACGGAAGTTAAACAAATAGGCAGATTTTAACTTGAAGTCAGGAAAAGTTTCCTAATAATGTGGGCTGTCCAAAATGGACACCCCCCTTTTCAGGGGACTGAAAGTAGTGGTTTTATACTATGTGAGCACTTGTTGCATGAAGGGATTCCTTTTGTGTCAATTGGACTAGACGATGGCTACTGAGGTCCCTTCCAACTCTCAAATTCTGTGGTTCTGTGCTTTGAATAAACTCAGTCTCTGTCATTTAAATACCTGTGTTACCTTGGGCAAGTCACTTTGCTTGCTGGTTCTCAGTTTCCTTACCTGTAAAATGAAGGTGTTGGACTAGTTCTAAAGTGTCTAAGTCTACATCCTTCAACTTGGAAAAGTTTATTAAAAGTTTGGCACATAAGTATACCATCAATATTATGCACCCAAAAGTATTGTAATCACCAACAGGGATATCTAAAAAGTTGAAAACATATTCTCTGTATCCTCAGGGAATTTACAATCTAAACTTGTGAGATAAAATTTACATACATAAAATGATTATCTGCTATAGCATGTAATGAAGGCACAGATATTAAGAGCAAAATTCCCAGCAATGTTGTGGAATATGCCATAGCTAGGTGGCGCAGTAGAGAGAGCTCTGGCCTTGGAGTCAGGAGGACCTGAGTTCAAATCCAGCTTCAGACATTTGACACTTACTAGCTGTGTGACCCTGGGCAAGTCACTTAACCCCAATTGCCTCACCAAAAAAAAAAGCAAAAAAAAAAAAGGCACTAGATTAGGGCCAAGGATGTGTGGATTTCAGTACCAGACCTGCTCATTAGTTTACTCTGTGCCCTCAGGAGAGTCAATTCAATTGCTTAGGTCTGTTTCCTCAAGTATAAAATGAAGGGGTTAAAGAGATGGCAGGATAAAATATGAAGTATATTGCACTTTCTATCATGAGACTTGTTCTACTCCCTGCTCTGCCACCAAATAATTGTGTGATTTTGGGCAAATGACTTCCTCTGGAGAACATGTATTGTTGGAGAGAAGATCAAAGAGTATCCCAGGCAGTATTTGGCGCAAAATGATAAAGGTCTCCTGTAAGATCTATGGATAAAGGAGGAATTTATGAACAAATAAGATACAGAGAGATCTTGGGAAGTAAAATGAATAATTTTGATTATTTTGATTATATTTTGCTCAAACAAAACCAATGCAACCAAAAAAAAAAAAAGGAAAAAAACTTTTATAGTAAGTTTCTCTGAGGGAGGCCTCATTTCTCAACTGTATCAGGAACTGAGCCAAATTTATAACAAAAAAAAAAAGAGCCATTCCTCAATTGATAAATGACCAAAGGATATGAACAGGCAGTTTTTAGAAAAAGAAATCAGTTATCAACAGTCAAATGGAAAAATGCTCTAAATCACTATTGATTAGAGAAATGCAAATTAAAACAATTCTGAAATACCATCTCACACTTATCAGATTGGCTAACATAACAGAAAAGGAAAATGATAATTACTTAAGGGGAAGTGGAAGAATAGATACACTAATAAACTGTTGTTGGAGTGGTGAACCAGTCCAGCCATTTTGAAGAACAATTTTGAACTATGCCCAAAGGGCTATAAAACTGTGCATACCCTTTGATCCAGCAATGCCACTACCAGGTCTATATCCCAGAGAGATCAAAGAAAACAGAAAAAGATCTATTTGTACAAAATATTCATAGCAGCTCTTTTTGTGGTGGCAAAAAAAATTGGAAATGAAGGGGACGCCCATCAATTGGGAATGGCTCAATAAGTTATGGTATATAATTGTGATGGAATACTACTGTGCTATAAAAAATAACAAAGGGGATGGTTTCAGAAAAATCTGGGTAGACTTAAATGAACTGTTGCAAAGTGAAGTGAGTCAAATCAGGAGAATATTGTACACAATAACAGCAATATTTTATGATCAACTGTGAAAGACTTACTTATTCTCAACAATGCAATGATCCAAGACAATTCCAAAGAACTCATGATGAAAAATGCTATCCACCTCCAGAGAGAGAACTGATGGAGTCTGAGTGCAGATTGAAACATCTTTATTTTTCTTGCCTTTTTTTTTTACACCATGACTAATATGGAAATGTTTTACATGACTTCACATGTGTAATTCATATCATATTGCTTGTCTTCTCAATGGGTGGGGAAGGGACTGAAGGGAGAAAGTGAATTTGGAATTCAGAATTTAAAAAAATTAATGTTAAACTAAATAAGGTATAATTATAAAAGAAAAGATATAGGTCTGGGAGAACTGGCAGCAAGTATAATCTTTTATTTCCTCTCTACCACCCATTTAATCCCTTACAACCTGAGGGGGAAAAGAAACTCTCACGGATTTTGGAGGGAAAGCTTGATTCTTCTTCTTCTTCTTCTCCTTCTTCTTCTTTTTTTTTTTTGCTATTTTTTCCCTACATGTTACAGATATTGATGAGTGTGCAGAATCCCAGCATACGTGTACCTGGGGGACCACATGTATTAACACAGGTGGCAGTTTTCAGTGTGTCAATCCAGAGTGTCCAAAGAGCAGTGGTAATGTGAGCTATGTGAAAACATCCTCATTGTAAGTAAAGTCCAAAATGTCTCCATAATAGGATCGTTTTAGCCCATAGGGCTCTTTTTTAGTGACTTTCAGCTCTTCAGTGGGAGGGGGCAGCTAGGTGGCTCAGTGGATAGAGCACTGGCCCTAGAGTCAGGAGGACCTAAGTTCAAATCTGGCCTCAGACACATAACACTCACTAGCTGTGTGACCCTGGGCAAGTCACTTAACCCCTTTGCCTAGCAAAAAGGAAAAAAAAAACTCTTCAGTGGGGTTCAGGGGAGGTAGTGTTTTCTAATGGGGTAAAAAAAACACTGTGGGGCTGGGAGTGAAGACAACTGGGTCTTTGTTCTACTTCCATTACTGGCAAAAAAAAAAAGATGAACTGGAGCAAGGCACTTATCTTTCCTGAGTGTCAATGTTCCCAAATATAAAATGAGATTAATAGCTCTTGGCCAATAGATTTTTGTGATAACATTTTGGATATCATTGTTGTAGTATAATGAGGATTTAGTGGTGTACCAAAGAATGCCTTAGTGTCATCTCCCAAAGCTTCCTTTCCAGGGAGGAAATGTACATATATTGTACATATATGTATATGTAGGGTCATAAATTTTATAGTTATTTATTTTATATATATATATATTATAGCTACATTATTTAACGTTCAAAAGAATAGACATTAGTATTAACATCTAAGAGGTCATCCTTCTAGCAGTCACAAGTATCCAGAACATAGTCATTGTATTAGACATCTAGATAATCTCTAAAGTCTTAAATTCTTGAATATTTAAACCAGACAAAGGGTAAAAAGGTCTCATAATCCACAAAACCTATGCCCTTCACCTTAGAGAAAAGCCAGAACCCCTCTCAGGATGAGAGGATTTATAATTGTGTATAAAACTCAGCTCACTGATCTAACAAACAGTTTTCTGGCCTCCTCCTGAATTAGATAGATATTAAAAGCTGCAAAGAAAGGAATGATGTTGATCAAAGCTGAGTCACTAGAAATGGTAGATATCAGCAGGTTTAGGGATTGGAGTGGGGAGATAACAGAGCCAGCTAAAAGTCTGGGACCATTTAATATCTGGGTAAATAGTTGTATATACCCAAAAAGCCCCCTAAAGCATCCTTAAATCACAGTATAGTATAGCAATTGTTGTTCACAGTAATAACCCTGAGTCATCATGTGAATGAGATTTAGTAGTCAATTCAACCAAACTAACATTTCCTAGGCACCTATTATGTGACAAGTGCTGGGGAATACAAATATCAGACAATCAAACAGAATTTATTAACTGCTTACTATCTGTCAGACACTGGGAATACAAAGGTGAATTAGGGTGTACATCCTGACCTCAAGGAGCTCAATTTAGTAAGAGATAAGACATGAACACAAACAAACATGCTACAAATGCAAGTATTAGAAGTCCAAAGTGATGTGAAGAAGTTAAAGGGAGGAGAGATCATTTCTATCTGGTAGAATTTGTGAAGGGTCCTTTGAGAAGAGAGAATCTGAGCTAAGTCTTGATGGAGGGAAAGGATTTTAATGGGTTGAGATGGGAAGAGGTGGGGCAAAGAAAAGTATGCTCCAGGCAAGAGGGATTCTGTGAGCAAAAAACAAAGACAGGGGAGAATAGAGTTGGGTGAGGGATGGAGTAAGTAATATGGTTTGGCTGGGACATGGGGTGGGCAAAGGAGAATAGTACCAGGTAAGCTTGGAAAGGTTGATTATATTTGTATCTCCCTCAAAGCCTAGCACAGTGCATTGTACACAGTGGGAATTTAATAGATGAATGAGTGAAAGATGGAATTAGGTTATGGGGGTTCTGGCTGAGTTTCTATTTTATTTATTAGACAATAGGAGCCAATGAAAATTTTGGAATAGGAAACCAACAGAACCTGAGTGATATAATTAGATTTGGAGAAGGGCTTAGACTGGGGAAAGACTAGAAGCTAGAAGACAGCAAGAAGATTATTATTAAAAATATCTTCTGTTAAATAAAGGAAACAAAACTAACAAATTTAAGTCAGATTTTAATCCAAAAATGATTGAAATAAAAAAGTATTGGTGTAAATACTTTTTATTTAAAGGAGTAAAATTCAGTTTTCTGAAAAATACTCTGACTCTAGAGGTCCAAATATAGACCACTATAGAATATAGATTTTGCTCATAAAATGGAGGCCCTTTGAAAGGAAGATATATACATATACAAACATATTATATCAGTGTGTTGAGGACCTATGGTTTTATTGAAGTAGGAATCCTCTTCGCTGAAGCATATTGCAACCTATCTAAACAAAGTCTCAGAAAGTAGCCTTGGAGGATAGGAAGAACTGGGTTAAAGACCTGTTTCTGACACATATTTGTTATGTGTCCCTGGACAAATTCCCTAACCTTTTAATGATTTAGATATTTCTCTAAGACTGTAACTTTCAGATAAGGTGCCAACTTGCACCTCATCTGAGAATTCCCTATTATACCAATGAAATCACAGGTCCATTTCCTATCCCTAGAGGCAACTAGGTGCCTCAGGAGATAGAGTGCTGGACTTGAAGTTAGGAAGACCTGAGTTCAAATCCTGATTCAAACACTTAATAATAGCACCTACCTTTTAGGGTTGTTGTGAGAATAAAATGACCTAATATTTTAAAGATACTTTGCCAACTTTAGAGCTCTCTATAAATACAGCTATAAATTCTAGCTCCTCTTAGTTACATGAGTTTCAAAAAGGTTTAGTGACTTGTCTATGGCCACATACTTAGTATCAGAGGCAAAATTTCAACCTAGGTCTTTTTGACTTTAAGTCCAGTGCTCTATGACACTATGCCATGTTGCCAGTGTATGTATGCATGTATATATGTGTATATGTATGTACACACTGAAAAATAACACAGTGTAGGTTACATTCATATTTTTATATAAGCTATATTTTGTGGGAAAGTGTGGCACATATAAAAGTGGAACACCATCATTCCTGGTGATATCTGATAAATTTTTTATTTGATGAGACAGTGGTAGAACAGGGAATCAAAGGGACACCTTCACCCCACTACTCCTTTAAGTGAATTGAATATGCTTGTGTCCAATTCATATTTATACAGATGTGGTAGAAGCATGGATAATCATTCTCTGGAATAAGGGGGTAGGAAACTGATGGGTTGGGACAACATGTGTGTGTGCATGTGTGTGTGTGTGTGTGTGTGTGTGTGTGTGTGTGTGTGTGTGTGGGTTGGGATGAAGTAATCATACTTTGGGAATCTATCCCAGTGTATATATGTATAAAAAACCCCCACCTGCCCTGGATCTTAAAACTTCACTGTTCCTTTGTTTTACAGCCAATGTGAACGTAACCCCTGCCCCATGGACAGTAAATCTTGTCACCATGCTCCCAAGACCATCTCTTTTCACTATCTTGCACTACCTTCCAGCCTAAAGACACCAATCACACTCTTCCGCATGGCTACAGCTTCAGCTCCTGGAAGGCCAGGGCCTGACAGCTTGCGCTTTGGGATTGTAGGAGGCAACAGCCGGGGGCATTTTGTGATGCAGCGCTCTGATCGACAGACTGGGGAGCTGATCCTCGTGCAGAGCCTGAAAGGGCCACAGACATTAGAGGTGGACGTTGATATGTCAGAGTATCTGGATCGCACCTTCCAGGCTAATCATGTGTCTAAGATCACTGTTTTTGTGTCACCCTATGACTTCTAAGAGGGCTATATGGGATGGTCACAAGCACCAATCGCTCGGGATTGTTTCTCTTCACCAAAGACTCAGCTCTGGGCACTGGTTCTAAAGACCTCTTTCCTCTTCTTAACCAAACTCATACCTTAGCAGTGGAGACTTTTTGGTCACTGTAATGTCACTGTTCCACATGATGGTGCTGAAGTGTCATCGAGACACTGACACCCCTGAATGATTTCTGCCTTAACGTTCTTCTAGTAGATCATGCGCTAACCTTCTTAAGTCTGCCTCAGGAGATGGAGAGCTTCTTTAAAGACTGTGGGAATAGTAATGCAATTAGGAGTCAGTTGGGGGTAGGAAAGGGCAAAATAAACTTTTCCGATGACTTTCAAATATTTCCTATGCTAGAATAAAACCCTACAATAGAGTGCTTGCCAGCTTGTGACTTTAGTAATGTTACAAACTAGATCACATTTCCTCTATAAGTAGTGGAATATAATGTCTCTCCTCCCCATAATTCAAAGAACCTTTAATATGGGTTCTATCTTTGTCCCCCAACACCACTTATGATGGAGTTCCACTGTAGATATGTCAGCACACTAATCAAAGAAGCTGAGGATGATCTGGAATCTTCCTTATACTTCTTTGAACCAAGAAGACTAAATAATGTATCTATAACAACTATAAGAGATTTTGATATTGCCAGATGAAAACACTTCCTGGGAAGCAGACCTGTATATTAATAACCCCACTTTATAGCTGAAGAAACTGTTTCTGCTTTTCTGGCCTTTGCTCTTGACTTTGACCCATAAAACAACATAGTGCCATTTAGATGCATTAATAAGGCCCTCGTTTTATTGGATTAGCGCAAAGAAACTCGTGGTAATGGGAAAGAATGCAAGCAAGCAGGATAATATGTTGATGAATACTGGATTTTCATACAATAATCCCACTACCAAGGTCTACCAATATGATAGATCAAGAAGCCCACCATCTTGCCATTGATTTTTAAGGAAAAAATGCTCCGGGTGTTATTTTTTCCTTATATGGTTGCCTCCCAACCATGAGTAAGTCAAAAGATGACGCTTTCCAGGTGACTATTGAAACAAAATGCTAGAAAGGGAAAATTGAGAATATTTGTGTATCCAAGAGATTTGTTTAACCTCATTATTGAAATGTCATAGCATATCTTTTTTTAAGCTTTACAAGTTTGTCTTCATTGTATTTTGTTTAAGTTTTATCTGGCATTGAGAGGCAATGTGGCATAGTGTGATAAAGAATCAAAATCAGAAAGACCTAGATTCACATACTGCCTTTAACACTTACTGGATGAATGGCTCAGGCTCCTAGGCACCTTTCTAAAAATTGCAGAGAAGGTGCTGACTTACATTGGTAGAGGCAGTGTCCTAACTTAGGAGATCCTCATAATGATAAAATCACAACTCTAATTGCTGTCCCTGTGTATCTGGACCTGGAGACAATTCTACTATTGCCAATGGAAGAATATCGATAGTACTGTGAGTCCTGGAGATAAGATGGTACTAATGAATACAAACATCTTCATTTGTTACGATATGTTGGACTATAAATGTGATTGTCCCACTCATGAATTGATTTTAAAATGCACATTTTCCTCCCACAAGATTTTTGCTTGGAAAATGAGGCTCCTAGATATCATTGACTCATAGGTAAAACTTGCTTCTCAGAATTCCCCATTTTCTCATACTTGATTGGTGCCTCAATAAATTGTTTTGTGTTTTGCCAAATCAAATAAGTTGGGAATTACAGATAAAATATGAAAAGGTTGCTTCCAATAAAGCACTTCTGCTTTTGCAGGTATTAAAGGCAATATTATTATCTAGAAATGAAAAAATAATCCCAATGATACATGAGGCAGCTGAAATAATGAATAACCATTCATATAACAGAATTCCTCCCCCCCCCCATTTAGGTCTATCGAGGCCTTTAGTGGAAGGAAGGAGAGCTCATGTAGTCAATGAGGACTGTGTAAGATGAACTATCCTAGTACAATATCCAAGTCAAATAAGAATTTTTGAATGCTTTTCTCTTTCAGGAAATACCATCCGTTTTGGAGGTTTCTAGTATTGCTCCTTGTAGCAGGACTGTACTGTTTTTATATTCATGTCACTGATGGTTCCCTCTAGTCCCCTTTTCTACCATTAATGTAGAGATTTTGATAACACTGGGCAGGTCTGAGGTGAAATTTTGAGTTAGATATTGTTTTAACTTTGCCAATTCTGCCTTCCCAGTTTTGACAACTTTGCCATTCATTCATTCAACAAACTTGTTGAATTGCCATTTACCTGGGCTCTCCCGCAGATCCTTGCCTGCTGGGGTCTCAGTTGTAGTACGGCACTTGGGTCTCGTCCCCTCAGAAGCATCCCAACCTGATAAATCTTCTCCCGATTAATACCTCTCTGATGTCCCATTGGTCTGTGCTAGGTGAATACTAGATAGTCTGATAATCTAGATGCTGATATTATCTTTCTTGAGGAATATATTTGAATTTTATTAGGCTTTTCTATACATAATGCTTTAACTCAGGAGTGAATTAAGTGATGGGCATTTCAGACATTATAGGAGGCTGATAGAGGAGATACTTAGGAGTCAGGCCATTTTAACTCACCATAAATAATTCCACATGGACAATGACCAATTTTGCATAGATGGAAGCCTATTTTTCTTGATCCTCACATTCTTGGAGCTGCCCACTAGTCTCCAGATTTTACCATACACTCTTCTTTTTCTCCCAGAGTGATAGCAGCTATATTGAGGGAGTAATGGGCATTCTGGTACCTGGGGCAATCTATGTCTCTCTTCAATATCTTTCAGTATACAATGCTCAGAAGGGGTTTGGGGTGGGATGTCACTACTACATCCTGTGGCTAGAAGGACTTCAGTGTTGTTCCACTTTTAGATGGTGCTGACAGTTCAATGCTATTGAACTGGTAAAGCCCATATATCCCATGAACTCAGTTCTTTGAAAGTCAAATCACTCATCTATAAGCCATAAGAAAGAGCTGTACAAGTGTCCCAGAGGGAAACTAGAGAGCTTCATGGGGAAAAAATTTGTATAGATCATGGTAGGAATGGTCAGGGAGGCTTTTCTACCCAAATAAAATCCAAAGTTACTCCCTCTTGTTAGGATAGTAGATGTGATCAGACAAACTTAGGAATTCAGATGTATCCTCACCCAGTTGATGAGGCTGACACACATCTAGCTAGAAGAAGCAGTTCTGTAATCAGAAAGTTCCAATGAATATGATGGCCAAAAAGTAACAGGTCATAAGACAACAGATTTTGAGCTGGATGGTTTGAATATAATGTCTCCTCTTACCAATTGCCTCTTTCAACCTTAATTTTTATTCCTTCCTAGTATTCAACAATATAATACTAGTCATTAAAGAAAACTTTAAAAGGCAGTATTTCTTGAGATCATTTAAAAATTCGCCACAAAGTTGGGTTATTTAATTCAGATGAAAAGATAAAAGTTTCATCATCTGTATTCATTCCACACAAGCACAGGAATAAATATTGTCTATTTTTATTGATGAGAGTAGTAGGCTTTTTATGAGGGACACATTGAACAATTTAATTTTTTAAAGAAAGTTGGCCTAACAGTTCATTAAATCTGGCATACTTAGGTCTGTAGACAGATTTCAGAGGATCTATGAACTTGGATAAGAAAAAATAATAATAATTTTCACTAACCTCTAAATGAAAGTTAGCATTTCCTTTGATTATTAAAAAAGGCGTCCATAGGCTTCAGTAGACTGCCAAAGCACTCCATGACACAAAAAAGACTAAGAACCTCTGTCTTAATGACTGAATTATCCTGTTACATACAACTGTCAATAAGAGAGCAGGAGGGCCTCCACAAATTAATACTACATGCGATCTCAATATTTCAACCTTCTCCCCTTACCCAAGAAACCACCTAGAATATTTTAATAGAATAGTAAAAAGGTCTGAGTTGATTTTTGTCTCTTCTGCTTATTTTTGGCCTCTCTCTCTGGAAGATGTAAAATAATACTGAATGGATAAGGGACAGGAAGCATGAGGGATCTGCACAATGTACAAACTGGAAAATTGGCTCTTGAGTAATGGAAAGTAGGCCGAGCTCTTGAAAGCCTTTTCTTTTTCTTTTGAAATAAAAGCAACTTAAAAAAAAAGAACCTCACAACCAAATCATTTTCTTTGTAAAAATTAAGGGGTTATAGTAAATGAGCTGCAAGATCTCTTCCAACTCCAAATCCTGTGATCTAAGGACAAAATAATATTAAATCATTGTAATAAACTTGTTGGGTTCAGGGAAGGAACTTGAGGAAGGGCTACAAAGAATATTACTTTGGTAGGCTTTAAGGGAGTTGCGATCAGCTATGAAAAGGTTGTTGCTGACAAACTGTTGCCTCTACTTCTTTTAAGTGTGGAAGGCAATATCATTATTTAGAAATGGCTATATTATGGGCATGTATTATAGAATCTTTTACTGTGTTCATGTTTACTCACTTCGAGAGATGAATCAGTCTAGTCATGCTACTGATTTGCCTCCCTGCTTTTAGTTGTTTGCCCCAAGTAGGACACAGTCTAGGAATGAAGATTGGGGAAAAAGGAAGAATGCATTCAGTACTGTCAGCTCCTCAACCACCAGCAGAATTGTACCCAAAATTTAAGTGTTTGAGGCAATTCAGTTGAACTGAAACTGAGACACCATTCCATGGTAGGAAAACTGACCCCAGAAAACTATGAGACTAATTTTGGGAAGATTTCCATAGGAGGGGGAGGAAGCAGAGTGGAATATGCCAAGAAGGAACTTACCTTAGGTGTGTCCATGGCGGGGGAAGAAATGTCACCTGGGAGCTTCCTGTTTTAATTAATTATTCTTGCTAAGTAGGCATTAAATTCCATTATTTTCTGCACTTCAAGAAAGTGTAAGTGCTATCGGTGATCTCGAAGTTTTAGTACCCTGTAACTAAATTTCCATTGTCCCCCCCCCCGCCATTGTTATAGTTCTTACCACCATCACCACCTTCAGCAATTAGATACCTTCTGCTTGATTTTGAGAGGGTGCTCATTCATCTGTGTTTTTGTATGTTAACTGCCAAACACTCCATTATGCATGTATATTTTTCACAAGTTATTTGACTAAATGAGAGGATTTTGATGCAATGAAATAAAAAAAATTTACATTTGATCTCCTTTTGAGGTTTATTCACAAAGCATTACTTGTCTATAAAGGATGAACAGTTCAATCCAACAAACATTTATTAAGCAACTAATACATGTATACCAGGATTCTAGTCATAGGAAATACAAAGATAGAAAAAAAAAGTCCCTGGCCTTGAGGAGTTTACATTCTACTTGAAAACAGAGGTAATAACATGTATATAGATAAGCATGGGAGTGATGAGGACAAAGGACAAATCCAGACAAGGTGCTCTAGGAATATTTGAGGAAAAAGCATAACTAGGAGGGGAGGTATCCATGCAGTGGCATCTGAAAGATAAGAACTGTGACAAGTGGAGATGAGAAAAGAATGTATTCTGGGCAAGGTGGGGCTGGTCTGGGCAAATTCACTGATGTAGGAAATAGAATGTGAAGTGTGAAGAATGGCTAGCAGTCTAGTTTGACTGGAATGTAGATGGCTTGAAAAAGGAGTAATGTAAGCAAAGACTATTAAAATAGGTTGGCCCAAATTATGTAAGGTCTTAAATGGCAGGAAGGATTTTGTAGTTTGTATTATAGGCAATTAAGAGCCACTGAAAGTTTGCGTTAAGACTTTTGCCTCAGCAACATTATTTTAGAATCTGTATGAAGGATGACTCAAAAGAAGAGAGACGGGGCAGCTAGGTGGCTCACTGGATAGAGCACCGGCCCTGAAGTCAGGAGGACCTGAGTTCAAATCCAGCCTCAGACACATAACACTCACTAGCTGTGTAACTCTGGGCAAGTCACTTAACTCCAATTGCCTCACAAAAAAAGAACCCCAAAGAAGACAGATGAAGTAAGGAGAAAAAATGGGAATCTATGAAAAATATGGCAGGCCAACCAAGAAGTAACAAAACCCTAAACTAGTGTGGCATCCATGCGAATGGATATAGGCAAGAGACATTGTAAATGCAGAATTGATACAACTCAGTAAATGATTGACTCTTCCCTCTTCCCTGTACCACCCCCATCCAAAGATGATTCTGTGGTTTGGAACTTGGGTTACTGGGAGGATGGTAGTGCCATAAGCAGAGATAGGGAAGCTTGTGGGATGCTGGAAAAATATGGTAGGGAATTAAGTTTTGGGCAGACTAAGTTTGATGGTGTAATATCCAGATGGGGACGGCCAACAGACAACTGCAGATTCAGGCCTGGCATTTAGGAGAGATATTAAGGCTTGATATGCATATTTTGGAGTCTTCTGTGTAAAGAGGTTAATTAAAAGCATGTGAACGTATGAGATCACTAAGGGAGAGAACATAAAGAGAAGAAAATATAGGATATTGTCTTGGGGGACACAATACTTAGGTCATGGGAAATGGGACACAGAAGACTAAGAAGTAGCAGTTAGCTAGGAAGAGTACTAGGAGAAGGCATTGATATAGAAAACAAGTGAGGAGAAAGTATCTAGGTAGTTGTTGTTCAGTCATTTTTCAGTCACGTCTGACTCTTCATGACCCCATTTGGGGTTTTCTTGGCAAAGATACTGGAGTGGTTTGCCATTTCCCTCTTCAACTCATTTTACAAGTGAGGAACTGAGGCAAGCAAGGCAAAGTGACTTGCCCAGGGTCCCATAGCCAGTAAGTATTTGAGGCCAGATTTGAACTCAGGGAGATGAATCTTCCTGACTCCAGTTCTGGCATTCTATCCACTGTGCCACCTAGCTGTCCCCAGTCTAGGTAGAGGAGGTGACTGACAGTGTCAAAAGCATCAGAATGGCCAAAGAAGATGAGTTGAGATTAGATAACATGAAATTTTAGTGGAACTTGTTGGCATAGTCTCTTGACTTCCTCCAGGCATGATCAGTAGTTTAAGAGGAGGAGAAGAGAAGGATGATATGGTTGATGGGAGTGATTCAGAGTTAAGGAAGTTAGAACAAGAGATCAAGGAATATGGGGTAAAGGGAGGTCACTCCCTTTTTGAACAAATTAACTATAGACTCAAAACTAAGAAGATAAGTAAAGAGAAGATAGGGATGATGGGATGGAAAAACTAGAGAGAATAGAAAAGCAAATTTCAGAATTAAAAATATTGAAACTGAAGAGTTTTGGGTGGTGATGAGGTCTAAGGTGTGATGACACTTGTGGGTACATAGAGGACATTGTAGTTGAGATGGTTGATAGTATCATTATGCCAGAGTAGCCTCATTTCTTTCTTTCTTTTTTTTTATGGTAGACTACTGCAAGGGAAAACGTCTTCGTAGATACAGTTGGCCTCAGAGTCAGAAAGATGTAGCTTCAAGTTCTGCCTTGGACACATGCTAGTAGCTTTTCAGCACAGTCCCAGCATAAAGCATGGGTTTGGGGATAGGAAGGATTTTTTTAAAATATATTTTTTGATGATGATAATGATGAATAAGAAGATGATAATAGGTAAAAGAGTAATGATGACTGCATTACTAATGGCCATCATAGAAGTAAAGAAGTATCAGAATCCAGCCATACTGAATTTGTCTAGTGAAATACAATTTATGGGGAACTATCCATTAAAACATCTGAATTCCTATTCTCTGATGATGTCTTTCCAAATGGACAGCTTGAGCAAATTAGCATATCTATTTATGAGCACTATTCCATAATCCAGAGAGAATTAAAATGGTGTCTTCATAAACACATCCATGAATTGTCTTAAGGAACATGTGAAAAGTTCCAACAGGAAGGAACACTCTCACAGGAACACAGACACTTGCAGGGTTGGAGCAGACCCCACAACTCTCAGATGCATGGGAAGCCCAATGGTATCTGTATCTGGTTGCCTGTATGTTGGATTCTGATATCCATACAATGTAAATTGTCAGTTCACCAAGATTCTTCCACTGAAGGTACTTCTGCTCCTCTTTCCTTGGGGATTGGTAATTAATACCAAGAAAGCTCACCTTATCCCTTTCAAAGAATGGTGTCTTGTCTATTAGGCAGAGGCAAACACTGAATTCCATGATTTCAAGAAAGCCTTTTTTCTCCAACATTTTTATTTTCTGCAAATGTCCTCTACAGAGCTCTTTCTACCTTGAAAATGCCACAGATGTAGGCCTAGCAGTTGTTCCCTGGCCTCCTTGTTCTTGTATTCCTTTCTGTTTGCAGAATGAATCTACAATCCTGTCTTCTAGAAAGGTGCAGATATCAACAGATGCGACAGCGCTCCTCTCTATTGTTAGGCCAATGAATACATTCATGCTGTAATAGAAACATCTGACTGGTCTTCTCAGGCCCTCTTCTCTAGGACCTGGCCTCCTTAAGGAGGTATAACATTTCACCATAAGGCATGTGAAGAATTAAATTAAATTTTTCATCAGTAGGTTGGAGGATATGGAACAGTTTATGGGAGGTCTTTGCAAAGATGGAGTTGGGCAAACATCCTTAAAGTACCTTAGCCTGCATCAGAAATGCAAGCAGCAAGATCTTATCAGAATTCATGTGGGCTTTTAAATAGAGGTAATCCATTCAACTCAATTCAATTCAGTCAATCGAATCAGTGAAATATTAGCTATCTATAAGGGCAGGGACTACTTTTTGTTTGTTTTATTTCATCTTTGTTGTATCCCCAGCAACTAGCACAATGCCTTCCTTGCAAGCAGTTGTGGTGGTGGTGGTTGAGGACCATGACATCAGGGTGGTGATGACATGTCATGCAGGATTTAACTGGATTTAAGGGAGGGAGGGCTGTGCAAAGTCAGCAGCCTCATTTTTTCCTCCTGAGCCATCTGGGTCCAGTGGGGAGATACAGATCAGAAGAACTGGAGATGGCCCTAGAAGCAATAGGAGACCTTGGTCTTTTTAAGCTAAGGTCTTTAACAGGTCTCAGTTTGACTGAGGCAATACCCATTCAGTGATTAAGACTAGGTAAGAAATAAGGCATAGAATGGCCTCTTTACCTAGTCAAAAAAAATCAGTCTGGGAGGGGAATACTCTTGGGATTTCTGGCCAGAACAGAAACATTTGCTATTTACATTCACTCAGAGCCAATCAGAGCCCAAACAATGACCAGATGGAGCTTGGCTTGAGACCTATGGTTGGTCAATCAATGACAGCCAGAGTGATTTGGGCTGAAGGTGTGGTCCTTAAGAAAAAAAGGTTTCAGTGATCAAAATTTATATTCCTTTTGGTAGGGCATGGGCAGGAAGGATACGTGGATAGAGGGAAGGAAGGAAGAAAGGAAGAAAGGAAGGAAGAAAGGAAGGAAGGAAGAAAGAAAGAAAGAAAGAAAGAAAGAAAGAAAGAAAGAAAGAAAGAAAAAGAAAGTCCAAGGGTAACATGATGTCACTCTCAATCCCTCATAATATAGTCCACCTCCCATTGTGTTAACCAATCAGAGCTGATTGCCACTCTTCTTCCAAAAGAACGTATAAGTCCTGGGTCAGCCTCCATGATTGTCTGTGGTCTAAGAGACAGCCAAATGACCATCCTTTTATTAATAATGTGCTATCCCTATTAATAAAATGATTAAATTACCCAGAAACTGTCTCTCAAAATTATTTTAATCACTACACTATCCTTTCTTTCTAATTCTCTTGCCCTCACTTCAAGTGAAACTGCTTTTTGCCCTTATAATAACTTTACTAGATCAAAAGTAACAATCTCTTCCTATTCTCTCCACTTGTTAGCTCTTTTCTGGCTGTATTTCATACCTTGATACTACTCAGGCTGTCCTGGTCAGTCATTTCACCAAAGAGCTTGGTAGCAGCCTAAAATTGTTTATTCCTTGTCCTTCCAATATACTCATCTTGCCACACCCTCATCCTGGCCAACATTCTCCATCAGCTTTTCCTGTTCTTGGGCTGTTGGAAAAGTGGGGGGATGGGGCAGAAGAAGGGGAGAATCATAATACTGTGCTGATGAGGTCCAAACTCATGTTACTTTATTTCTAATTCTTTGCTACCATGAAAAGTGTTGCTATAAGTATTTTGATGTATGTGGGGATCTTCTTCTTGTCAATGACCTCCTT